CTAGACCGTCTCCCTCGTGAACCTCTCGATGTAGTTTCGGATAGGCTCATCTGGGGCCTGGATAATCGCACCCAGCGCGGCCTCCGTCTTCGGATGCCGCCTTGACGCCGTGAAGTGCCGTGAAAACAAATCCTTCAGGACTCTCCACAAGTGATGGACTCAGGCTCCAGGCTCTTGTACCATGTCATTGCTCCCTTTCTCAACGTCGTCGGGAAGAGCCTACACTTGACGGCCCCTCAGAAGTTCCTGTAGTTGAGCATAGCCTCGATGTCTTCCAAATGATCGTCTGGGTCCGAGGTGTCGTCGTACGTCGAGAGCACCGGTGGTTTCTCCATTCCGTGGGGGATGGGGGCTGCCATGATTTCCCGCGATAGAGGAGTCCTATAGTTGTCCTTGTCGCTGAGAACTAGGGATTGCGGAGGCGAAGGTTCGTGTCGAGGAGGCGGGTTACGCCCCCTCGGTCTTCTGGTCGGGGCTTTAGGCTCATTCTCCCTTGGCTCCCGGGACTTCCTCTCCTTATGGGGTGGTGATCTTGCTCGTTTCTTAGACACCACTAGTTGGGGGCTCTCCAGCTGTGGTCGACGCCCCCATGGTCGCGGAGAGGGGCTCCGGGAGCTCCCGCGCTGATTTCTCCGCGGAGGAGAGCGGGACAAGGTGTTGTGTTCTAGCGCGTCGATGCGCTCATTTTGTTGGAACAGCATCTGGTTCGTCTGGTTGATGGCCACGAAGAGGGCAACCATCGTCGGATACACGCCAGCCGGTGTGGGAATGAGCTGGAATACCGGCGGGCTCCTCACCCGAGGGACGACATGGTGTGTCGCATCCTCGGATGAAGGGGAGGCAGTTTGGCCGTCCCTGACGTCGATCTCGCGGGGTTGAGAGGTCCCCGTTTGGTTGTCGTCGTTGGTGACCGGCGTGAAGGCGAAACCGAGAACAGTATCATCGTGGCGTGGGCTAGTCATGCTCTTGAGATTTGAGAGGAGGGAGATTTGGTTCTCTGCTAGGAGGAACGGGGAAGCTTAGTTTCCCACAGACGGCGCCACTGATCTGACCTGATCAGAAGGAAAACAATGACCCGCCACGCGTTGTTGATCTGCTTGCCGCTCACAAGGAATATGGACGAGGAGGGGGTGTACCTGCAAGACACTCTGATACCAAAGTAAGTAATGGGTCAGAATGAGAGCAAATACTGAAAAGAGGTTGAGAAGTGAATACCTGGCCCTCTAGTGAAAGAGGGTAGTTATAGTGAGACTCCAGCGCAGGGCCAACGGTCATTTGTGTTGGGTTGGATTGCCAGGCCCAACCTAAGTGACTGCTAGAGCTTACATGGCGTAGTGAAGACCAGCACATGGTCTTCGCCCTAGTTCAACCGTCCCGTGATCTTCGGAAGGTGGGTTAACCATCTCTTTCGGAGGTGGGTAGTTGGCTGATGACGTGTTCCCGCGGGAGGAGCACGTGGAAAACGTGTGGAGGACACGTTGTTCTGCCCGACTGAGGGAGCGTCCTGGTCGACGGGATACCTGTGCTCGACATAGGACTATTTGGACCTATTTGGACCCTCCCAGTATATCTCGGGACTGGGCCTGTCTGATCAAACCTGGGCCTAGCCCAGAACAATTACCTTATTACTTTTATTTTTATATTACAAGAATTAAACTTTTACTTTAATTACATTTCTCTCAATTTTAACTTTTAGTTTTTTTTTTATTTCTTTTCCAATTCCTATCCAATTTTGCAAACTCAATTGAGTTTTATTAGAGAATGACTTAATTAATGTTTAAATTTAATTTTTTCATATACATATATTAAACATATCATATTCTAGATTTTTCAATGAACTGTCTCCAAATCTGATTAGTATATACCCATATATCCTCTCTAGTTCAATCTTATGGTTCTTCTAGCTTCTTAAAATATATGTTTTGTTTTCTAGTTATGCAAAATGTAATTCATAAATGGTTTAAGATTTTGTTTGAACTGCAAATCATCTCAAAATCTCAATCCTTTAAAAGATTGTCTCAGCAGTATGCTACTAACAGGTTAATTAGATTTTTATCAAAACAATAGCCTTGTTAAAATGAATATAAAAATGAAAATGTTGTAATAAGTGTGGAAACTCTGTAATTATAAACTCAATCCAAGAGTTTTTTCAAGCCATCACGAGATTAAAATCCACTCCCTCCTAACTACACCTTATTCTAATTTCATTGTATCGTAATATAGGGATATGATGGAAATTGTGAGTGTCCTCTTCTATGGTATTTTTCTCTTGTGATTATTTCTTTTCACTGTTGTAACAATTATCATTTTATAATAATTCTTATTCGACTGTATTGCACTTTATAATTCAAGGAGTTACGTAAGTAATATAATAAAGTTAAAATCTATTATTTTCAACACAAAACTTATCTCTTAATTCCGTTTTGAATAATAATACTCCTACCTGGTCCCACCATCTTTCCATTTTTTTCCCCCAAAGACACAAAAACAAAAACATTTCTTTCCCAAAGTGGTCATCCCATCCAGCAAAGACATCACTCCAAGATTCCTATTACTTAAAAAAGACTTACAACTCATCTCTAAACACTGCTAAAGTCCAGCGGTGCTACACGTGCTCAATAATTTTTATTTATGTACTACTGTCTATTGTGTTTGAGAAAGTGAAAATTGAAGATGAAGAAAGCACAAGTGGTGATCATCCCTCATCCTGGTTTGAGCCACCTTGTTTCAACTCTTGAGTTCGCTAAGCTTTTAATCAACCGTCATAACCGTATTCGAATAACCGTCTTAGTTATGAAATTCCCAAACAACACTGAACCTCAACCCGATCTCGACATTGATTCCGATTCACTTCATCTCATCAACCTTCCTGAAGTTTTACTTCCTCCAAACATTGATCGACGTTCCGCCGTCGTTAACGCTCTCCTCGAAGCTCAAAAACCAAACGTAAAACAAGCCGTCTCTAACCTCACTGCCCAAGAACAACAACACGGACCTCTCGCTGCTTTTGTTGTCGACATGTTCGGCACTACCATGGTTGATATTGCCAAAGAATATTCCGTCCCTGCGCTCGTCTTCTTCACTTCCGGCGTTGCTTTCCTTGGTTTGATGTTTCATCTTCACACTCTTTCTGAAAGAGACAACGGCGATCTGACTCCGTTTCTGCAGCAGAAGGAGTTGGACATTCCGAGTTTCAACAACATGGTTCCTTCCTACTCGTTGCCCGGTTTTGTGCTGCGTAAGGAATGGGAATCATTTTTTATAAACTATGCAAGTGGCCTTAAGAAACCAGATGGCATTATAATAAATTCATTTGAAGAGCTTGAATCACATGCGGTCCATTCTTTTTTCTCTCATCCTGATCTAGCAGGCTTACCAACTATATATCCGGTGGGACCGTTATTAAACCCTGACCTCATAACAGATAAAATTGTTGGATCCAATGATATCATGAAGTGGCTTGATGATCAACCGCCTTCGTCGGTAGTTTTTCTCTGCTTCGGGAGCATGGGTTCTTTCGACGAGGAGCAGGTTAAGGAGATAGCACATGCTATTGAAAATAGTGGTGTTCTTTTCGTGTGGTCTCTGCGTAAACTCTCACCTAAAGGCTTTAGGCACCCACCGTCAAATTATTCACTTTCAGAATTGGAATTGCTTTTACCCGAAGGATTTTTAGATCGGACTGCTGAAATTGGAAAGGTTGTTGGTTGGATCCCACAGGCTCAAATACTTGCCCACCAAGCTATAGGAGGATTTGTTTCGCACTGTGGTTGGAATTCCGTACTTGAGAGCATATATTTTGGTGTGCCTATTGCCGCATGGCCTCTTTATGCGGAACAACAGACAAATGCTTTTGAATTGGTGCGCGAGCTGAAGATGGGTGTGGAGGTTGCATTGGACTATAGGGTGGAGTTTAATGGCGAGCGTAACTATCTTTTAACTGCAGACAAGATTGAGAGAGGAATAAAGAGTGTGTTGGATAAGAATAGAGAGGTAAGGAAGAAAGCGAAAGAAATGAGTGAAAAGAGTAAGAAAACTTTGTTAGAAGGAGGATCATCATACTCTTATTTAGGCAATTTGGTTGATTATATTATGAATCAAGTATGAGATTAAATTGTCCTAGAGTAATTTTCAACATTAATAATGCTTCGTTTTTGGTTTGGAAATTTTTCTGTTTTGTATTACTTTAGTCTTATATCATGTCACTAAAAACTTCTATTAGTTCTGTTGGGAGATTAGTGTATAGATGACATTTAAAAGTCCTGTAGTATAATGGTAAGAAACTGCTACATGATGAAGCTTGGACGAAAAATTGAGACCAAGATGTAATTGTGGCAATCTTACTATATCTCAATTCCCTACTGTCCAATGTGACCATATATTAATAGATTCGAAGTAGTCCTTGTTCCAGAATCTATCTATCAATTACAGTGTTATTTTTCAAATATAATCATAAAATAAAATTAAGTTATAAAATGATATAAAAAATATTAAGTCATTAGCACAAATTTGAAACCAGTTATAAATGTGGCCGATCGAGCAAGAACAACATGAGCTACTCGATTGGCTTATCATAAATTAAATTTTACATGTTGGTAGAAAGGAAGGGAATAAACACCCACAATCACATATTAAAACACCAAATTCAGTTACTGTCATTCTTACTATTGCTGGAAATAAACAACTACTCTTTTGAGTCAAGTTCAAAATTATATTACGGCTGTAACATTTATCTGTAGTGTGCAAGCCCAACGTCTGTTGGACACGAGTGAGTTCTAGTAGGCATGCAGCGACGAAAAATATCCATAACAAATTCTAAAACTTTGGAAGCATCTGCAGATGCCAAATAACGTCCCTTCTGCCAATTTTAATGTTTAGCACATAATCATGCAGTCTATATGATAGAATAAAACATCTCAAATGAAAATATATCGAGGACAATAATTCCATGCAAAAATATGTTGAGTACATCAAACACATTCAAAATCAAAAAGGATAATTTAATTTGATACTTGATTCACAATATAATCAATCAAACGACCTAAATAAATGTAAGAAGATCCTCCCTCTAACAAAGTCTTCCTACTCTTTTCACTAATCACTTTCACTTTTTTTCTGAACTCTCCATCCTTATCCAACACACTCCTTATTCCTCTCTCAATTTTATCAGCAGTTACAAAATAGTTAGGTCCGCTGTTAACCTCCACCCTATAATCCGACGCAATCTCCACACCCATTTTCAATTCAAACACCAATTCAAAAGCATTACTTTGTTGTTCAGCAAAGAGCGGCCACGTGGCAATAGGCACACCAAAATATATACTCTCTAGTGTTGAATTCCAACCACAATGCGAAACAAACCCTCCTATGGCTCGGTGAGCTAGTATTTGAGCTTGTGGAGCCCATCCAATTACCATTCCAATCTCTCTCGTCCGATCTAAAAAGCCTTCTGGTAAAACCGAATCCAAGTCAGAAAGAGGGTAGTCAGAGGGCAAAGCCATGGTGCCCTTCAACGGTGGTTTACGGAGAGACCACATGAAGCGAGCTCCACTATTCTCAATAGCAAGTGCAATCTCCTTAACCTGATCCTCATCGAAACAACCTGTACTCCCGAAGCAGAGGAAAACTACTGAGAACAGAGGTTGATCATCGAGCCACTTAATGACATCAACAGAATCAATTGTACCCTCAGTTTTGGGTTCAGGGTTTAATATGGGTCCAACCGGATATATGGATAAACCTGGAAAACCAGGATGAGATAAAAACGATTGAACCGCATACGACTCTAGCTCTTCAAATGAATTTACTATAATGCCATCGGCATTCTTGAGGCCTTCCGCATAGTTCATAAAAGCCGACTCCCATTCCTTGCGTAGCACAACAGTAGGCAACGATTTTGAAGGAACAGAGTTAGCAAAACTCGGGACATCCAACTCAGCAAGTTGCAGCAACTGATCCGAATCTATGTTGTCTCGTTCTCTGAGAGTATGAAGATGAAACACCAAACCAAGGTAAGCAACACCAGAAGTGTAGAAGACGAGTGTAGGGACCGAGAATTCTTTGGCAATATCAATCATGGTGGTGCAGAACATGTCAACAACAAAAGCAGAGAGGACTCCGTTTTCTCCTCGTTCAGTAGTGAGGTTAGCGACAGCTTGTTGGACATTTGGCTTTTGAGCTTCAATGAGAGCGATCATGGCAGAACGTCGATCCATGTTTGGAGGAAGGGAACATTCTGGAAGGTTGATGAGATTGAGAGAATCAGAGATGGGAAGTGATTTAGTGTAGACATCAGTTTCTGTGGTATTCGAGTATTTCATGATCAAGATGGTTATGTGGAGACGGTTATCACGGTTGATTAGAAGCTTCGCGAACTCGAGAGTGGAAACTAAATGACCAACACCGGGAGAAGGGATAAAAACCACCTCTGCTTTCTTCATCTCGGATCACAGGTTATAAACTTGTGACTTTGTTTATTTTATGCTAGTATATGTGAACGGGAAACAAACCTTGAATTTAATTAGGATTAATTAGTGTAGAGAGTTAGTTAGTATAATCTATCATTTATATATATAGGTATCTGAGACACATAATCATTTGATCACTTTTGTTTTTTTCCTAAATTATCATTAGTACTATCATGGCTTTGTTAACTGGTATTGGATAATGAAATTGAGGTGAGATTGATGGTAAAACGAATGGTGGCTATTTAGTGTTTACTGTTATCATGTATATGGGATCCATGAAAAATTTATGTGGTGAAGAAGGACTTGTGAAACCGAATGGCTATCATCTATATCTTGTTGGAGTTATATTCAATCGTTCATAATATGTGGTTTGTGGGAAACGCGTATGACAATGTAGTGCAGGCTACCTTTTGAATTGTTTACAATAATATTCTCTATAGTTCAATCTTTTGAACTATAAATCATCTCAAAATCTTAATCCTTTAAACGATTGTCTTGGGAGTATGCTACTAACAGGTTAATTGGGCAAATATCAGAATAATGGCCTTTGATAAAATCAATATGAAAATGAAACTGTTGTAATAGGTGTGCAAACTTTATAACCATAAACTCAATCAGAGTTTTTGTTTTTTTACAGTTTTGAAAATTTTCCATTGAAGAAATTACCGGGTCCAGTTGCAAATTAGGTTGCTCTTTTTAAGACATTTTGTTACATTGTTTAAAATTGTGCAAAACAGTCATCCAACCACGACGTTTTTTATATAAAACAACTGATATTTATATTGTACATTTACTATTTACACGTTAGGTAATTGGTCTAGAATTACACCTCTGATGGCATTATGAACGGTCGTATCTGGTTTTTATACGAGTAGTATATATGGACCATGAAAAATTATGCAGTAAAGATGGATTTGTAAAATGAATGGTTATTATCTATATTTTTAATTGTTCAAAATAATATCCTCAATAGGTATTTGCAAATGAGTTTTTTCTTATTCTTTTCCAATGTAATATAGATATATATATGATGGAAATTGTGAGAGTTATGTTTCGTCCATTTTTTCCCTTGTGATTGTTTCTTTTCATTGTTACAATTAATAACACGAAAGGAAACTACTTCTCCATAATTTTTCTATTACATTCAATTTTCTTCGTTGTAGTAGTCATGACAGTTAGACAGAGATCAGTTTTTGTTAACAAAATGAAGTTTGTCCAGTCGTATACGTCAAGAAGTTGCAGAATGTGTGTACTGCTAAAGCAGTTGAAGAAAATGGAATCACAATATGCAAATTTTGAAATTCATACTAAAAAATGGATTAGTAGCAAAAAATGGAATAATATAAGAAAGATCCACTCTAAGTATCATAAAAGGTAATGTAATTATTGATGGTAGAACATCATGAATGATGATTTAACTAGAATTTTCATGAATGATATATGCTTTCTTAAGCATTTCTTTCAAAAGAAAATGTCCACTCTTACTATCACATGCATGTAAATCCATGAATCTTTCATATAATCTATCTAACCGGTTACTCATTTCCTTATCTTCCATCACCTTTTCAACTCCTTCTTCAACATCCTTTAGACCAAACCCATTCAATCTTAAACCAACTCTCCATACCTCAACAATATAAGCTCAGTTCAGAAACTGGTCTCCGGCCAAAGGATAACACAACATCTTTTTTCGAAATTGTAAAGCCTCCAACGTAGAATTCCAACCACAATGTGTGATAAAACAACCAACTGAATCATGTTCTAAAATATTTGTTTGTGGAGCCCAAGATACAACCATGCCTTTCCCTTGCTTGAAAACTCTCTCCAAAAACTCAATTGGTAACCATTGATGCAAAGTGGACCTCAAGACCCAAATGAAAGGCCTCATTGTAGCCTCAAAAGATAGTGCTAGTTTCTTCAAATTGGACTCTCCAATTGGATTGACCCAACTACCAAATGACACATAAACAACTGAATTAGCCTTTTGATTGGTTAGTCACTTCAAATAACTCAAATCTTCTTCCCAAAAACTTAGAGTCTTAGTGAATTCTTGAGGCCTACAAATAGGGCCTATAAATAATACATTTTGCTGCTTAACTTTGGTTTCATAGGGAAATGAATACACTAAGATCCATTTAAGGTCTTTTGATCTTTTCAAAGTTCTCATCCAAAACATAAATCATTGGTTGAAACTAAGGGCAATGTAGGTACAAAGTTAAATTTTCCTTCATGCTGTGGAAGTCCTGCAAATATATACATAATTACTGTTATCATCAACTTACAGTTATGACTGTTGAAAAAAATAATCACAAATTAAATCAAATCGAATTGCACTCAACCGGAGTATTAAACCGCACCCAAAAAGACAGACGGACAGACTAATTCGAAAGGATTCATTCCACCATCCACTAGCACGAACTATTTAAAAATAGAGTTAAGTTCTGTATGAACTGAGTCAACACAGAGATTGTTAACACTTAATTCTAATCAGAGACCTTGAGAAAAGAACACTCCTAGATCTTAAGCTTTCACCAACAAACCAATCTCTCGAGGTTATGGAAGGAGGATTTGATGTTAGAGAAGAAACCAAACCGGTATGAGAAATGAGTCCAGTCCTAAGCATCTAAGGTATGGCTTCGATCAAAAGATAAGATGCAAGCATTGCTGGCCAAAACCCAACAGTAGTGATCCCAAACTTCCTAGCCACTTGTATAACCCAAGATGCCAACAAATCAACAACCATCAAACACACTTCATCAAGCCTTTCATTATTTTGAAGAAACTCTTCCAAATGGATTGGCATTATGTTCTCCATGGATGACTCAATGGCAAAGAAATCAAGTGTTGTTGTTTCCTCTTCAATCCCATCTTCCAAACCGACACACTTAACAATCTTATCATCATTAACATTAATCTTGTTATGAACATGTTGAGGGAGAATCATCAAGGTTTCAAATCCCTGAGCTATAAAAGATGAGTCTAGATTTTGCATGGGATTAACATGTTCCTGTGCAGGATAAGGAACCAAAAAAACTATTGGCTTCTTCCTCATATTCATTAAATAATATGGTACCCTTCTAATTCCCTTCTAAGAAACCGTATAAATACTAATACTCAATCAATATTTTAAATACTAATATTTTAAATATTGCAGTCGCATAAAGACTTTCGCAATTCTAATTAATACTGTGATACTCATAACGAACCGCAATTTCCTTTTTTATCATAAAATGATGAATAACAGTATTAGTATCAGCATATTTCAATACCGTTTTTCTCCTTTGGCATAATAAAATATCGCAAATGAAAAAGTATTAAGAACATTGCTTCCATGCAAATCTTTGTTGAGTACATCAATCAAACACAGTCAAAATCAAAAAGCATAATTCAATTTGATACTTGATTCATAATATAATCAATCAAATGACCTAAGTAATTGAAAGAAGATCCTCCCTCTAACAAAGTCTTCCTACTCTTCTCACTTATCACTTTCCCTTTCTTTCTGAACTCTCCATCCTTATCCAACACACTCCTTATTCCTCTCTCAATTTTATCAGCAGTTACAAAATAGTTAGGTCTGCTAGCCTCCACCCTATAATCCAACACAATCTCCACGCCCATTTTTAATTCACACACCAATTCAAAAGCATTACTTTGTTGTTCAGCATAAAGCGGCCACGTGGCAATAGGCACACCAAAATATATACTCTCGAGTGTTGAATTCCAACCACAATGCGAAACAAACCCTCCTATGGCTCGGTGAGCTAGTATTTGAGCTTGTGGAGCCCATCCAATTACCATTCCAATCTCTCTCGTCCGATCTAAAAAGCCTTCTGGTAAAACCGAATCCAAGTCAGAAAGAGGGTAATCAGAGGGCGAAGCCATGGTGCCCTTCGACGGTGGTTTACGGAGAGACCACATGAAGCGGGCTCCACTATTCTCAATAGCAAGTGCGATCTCCTTAACTTGATCCTCATCGAAAGAACCTCTACTCCCGAAGCAGAGGAAAACTACTGAGGACAGAGGTTGATCATCGAGCCACTTGATCACATCAACAGAATCAATTGTACCCTCGGTTTTGGGTTCAGGGTTTAATAAAGGTCCAACCGGATATATGGATAAACCTGAAAAACCAGGATGAGATAAAAACGATTGAACCGCATGCGATTCTAGCTCTTCAAATGAATTTACTATAATGCCATCAGCGTTCTTGAGGCCATTAGCATAGCTCATAAAAAACGAATCAAACTCCTTACGTAGAGTAATAGTAGGCAACGATTTTGAAGGAACAGAGTTAGCGAAACTCGGGACATCCAACTCAGCGAGTTGCAGCAACTGATCGGAATCTACATTGTCTCGTTCTCTGAGAGTATGAAGATGAAGCACCAAACCAAGGAAAGCAACACTGGAAGTGTAGAAGACAAGTGTAGGAACGGAGAATTCTTTAGCAACATCAATCATGGTGGTGCAGAACATGTCAACTACGAAAGCGGCAAGGACTCCGTTTTCTCCTCGTTCAGTAGTGAGGTTAGTGACTGCTTGTTTGACGTTTGGTTTTTGAGCTTCAAGGAGAGTGGTCATGGAGGAAGTTATATCGGAGGTTGGTGGAAGAGAACATTCTGGAAGGTTGACGACGTGGAGTGAATCGGAGATGGGAAGGGAATTAGTGTAGACATCTGTTTCTGTTTCTGCGGTGTGTGGGAAATTCATCAGCAGGATGGTTATTCGAAGTCGGTTATCACGGCTGATTAGAAGCTTTGCGAACTCGAGGGTTGAAACTAAATGGCCAACACCGGGAGATGGGATGAAAACCACCTCTGCTTTCTTCATCTTGAAGCACAGGTTATTTTATGTGAGTGACTTTGTTTTTGAATTGTTTATTTTTACATTCCTGTGTTATTTTATAGTAGTATATAGGAACATTTCATGGCTTTGCCAACTGGTATAGGATAATGAAAGTGAGGTGAGATAGAAATGTTTGAAAAATGGATGGTGGGGGCTAATTGGCTATTTAGTGCTCACTGTTATCATGTTATCATGTATATATGGACCATGAAAAATTATTTAAAGCTGAATGGTTATTATATATATCTTGTTGGAGTTATATTCAATCATTCATAACATGTGGTTTGTATTGCGGGGCTGCATATGACAGATGACAATGCAGAACAGGCTACCTTTTGAATTGATTGTAAGTTAACTCCAATTGTAGATCCAAAACATTCTAAGTTTTATGGCTGTTTGATTTGGTTTTACTTTTTACTTTCTGAATACTCTTTGGAGAATCATGTACTACTAGAAAAATGGATTAGAAACCAGAAATGGAATAACATAAGAAAGATCTACTCAAGTATCATACAATATATAATGTAATGTAACTATTAATGGTGGAACATCATGAATGATGATTTAACTAGACCTTTCATGATTTATAGATGCTTTCTTGAGCATTTCTTTCAAAACAAAATGTCCACTCTTACTATCACATGCGTGTATATCCATGAATCTTTCATATAAGGTATCTAATCGGTTACTCATTTCCTTATCTTCCATCACCATATCAAGCCCTTCTTCTACGTCCTTTAAACCAAGTCCATTCAATCTTAAACCAACTCTCCATATCTCAACAATATATGCACAGTTCAGAAACTGGTCTCCGGCCAAAGGGTAACACAGCAACTTTTTTCGAAATTGTAAAGCCTCTAATGTCGAGTTCCAACCACAATGCGTGATAAAACAACCAACTGAACCATGTTCTAAAATCTTTGTCTGTGGTGCCCAAGAAACAACCATGCCTTTCCCTTGCTTGAGAACTCTCTCCAAAAACCCAATTGGTAACCATTGATGCAAAGTGGACCTCAAGACCCAAATGAAAGGCCTCATTGTAGCCTCAAGAGCTAGTGCTAGTTTTTTCAAATTGGATTCTCCAATTGGATTGACCCAACTCCCAAATGAGATGTAAACAACTGAACTAACCTTTTGATTTATTAGCCACCTCAAACAAGTTAAATCTTCTTCCCAAAAACTGAGAGTTTGAATGAATTTTTGTGGCCTGCAAATAGGACCTATAAATAATACATTTTGCTGCTTAACTTTGGTTTCATAGGGAAAGGAATTTACTAAGATCCATTTAAGGTCTTTTGATCTTTCTAAAGTTCTCATCCAAAACTTGAATCTTGTTTTTCTTGCATCAATTGTTCCAATAAGCCATGGTAAATCATTGGTTGAAACTAAGGGCAATGTAGGTACAAAGGTAATTTTTCCTTCATGTTGTGGAAGTCCTGCAAATATATACATAATGACTGTTATCAATAGCTAATATTTGTCTGTTGAAAAAAATAATTAAAAGCCAAACCAAATTGAATTGTACTAAGCCAAACTATTAAACCACACCAAAAAGAAATTAAATGTGATTGATAGTTAACAAACTAAATTCACCCGACATAACACATTTTGAAAACTTGATATTCGGCCTTGTGGCCAACTAATCCAAAGGGATCACTCCCACCGTCCATTAGCGGATGGTCCATTTAAACCAAGAGATAAGCTCTGTATGGACCGACTCTACATAGGAATTGTTAGCATCTAACGTGATTCGAACAAGAGATCTTGAGAGGAGCACACTCTCAGGTCTCAAGCTTTCACCAACGGACCATTCCCCGGGAGTTATAGAAGGAGGATTTAATAGTGAAGAGAACAAACCTGTATCAGAAATGAGTCCAGTCCTAAGCATCTGAGGTATGGCTGCAATCAACAGATAAGATGCAAGCATGGCTGGCCAAAACCCAACAGTTGGGATCCCAAACTTTCCAGCCACTTGTATGGCCCAAGATGCCAACAAATCAACAACCATCAAACACACTTCACCAACCCTTTCATTATTTTGAAGAAACTCTTCCAAATGGATTGGCATTATGTTCTCCATGGATGACTCAATGGCAAAGAAATCAGGTGTTGTTGTTTCCTCTTCAATCCCATCTTCCAAACCAACACACTTAACAATCTTATCATCATCAACATTAATCTTGTTATGAACATGTTGAGGGAGGATCATCAAGGTCTCAAATCCTTGAGCTATAAAAGATGAGGCTAGATTTTGCATGGGATTAACATGTCCCTGTGCAGGATAAGGAACCAAAAGGATTATTGGCTTCTTCCTCATATTCATTAAACAATATAGTACAATTCTAATTCCCTTCTAAGAGACACTATATATACTAATACTCGATTAATATTTTAAATATCAGTCACAGTCGCCTTGCAATCGCATAAAGACTTGTGATACTCATAAAAACAATAACAGTATTATTATCGATATATTTTTGTAGCGGTTAATTGAGATAACTTACCGTTTTTAAACCTTAGCGATAGTACTATACAACATGTTTAAATGCATGTGGCTATAAAGAGTATATTCAATTGGAAGATGAGCTGTGATATTTAGTTCACACATAGCATTTGAGCTGTTTGTGCCTCACTCAAAGTGGGAGTTTGCCAGAATTATACTCAATTGGTTGTAAGCAAAAAGCAAAAGCTTTCTTTCTGAAAAAGCAACAGTACCAAATCAATGAATGCACGTGTTAATCATGCAACTACTCACTTCTTAGTAGGGTATGTTCGGTCGGTTCAGGAAGTATGAATGCAATTAATTAGTGAAAGATAATGGATTTGGCATAGTAATAATACCTCCTCTTCCACTAGCTCCAAAAGGAGTAAACCGCAAGTGGAAACCTTTTTTCTTCTTCTTGTGTCTAGATATAAATACTTTCTGTTAGATAATAATAAAACTATTAAGTATTGATTAGTTATTACTTTTATTTTCCGCTGTTGTGCTTGACGCTTGTGCTTTGCACCTTTATAGGAAAATTAGTTATGGTATATTGGTGTATAAATACACCTCTCGACTCTTGTATTGATTAAGTTATATAATAATAATAATAATAATAATAATAATAATAATAATAATAATAATAATATTATTATTATACAATTCAAATAAGATATCAGCCTGATGAATATTTTTTTCTGTCTTTTTGTAAAACTCATATATTATATATGTCTAGAATTTACATATTATATATAGTTGTAAATTTGGTATTGAAATACATAAGTTCCTAGTGACACATTGTATATATTACATGCATAATCCAAACATCTAAAAGGGGCACAATATATACAAGATGCTCAAACTATAACTAAGAACTAGATCAACAAGGGGCGGTCTCAAAATAATTGTCTTCACAACGGAAGTGTCATCTAAAAGATAAAATAAGTAAGGACATCAAGCTATCTTGTCATTACCCTTCGCCGAATCGAAACCACCTGAAAAATAATCAACAACATGGGTGAGATAATAATTTCAATGGGTTCCCTATCTTATGAATTTTCTCGCCTTTACAAGGTTCTAAACATCTATTAGCACAAATCCCAAAGAAAAAAAGGAAGAGATTTGAGTTCACAATTCTTACAATATATGAAAACATATTGCTTGAGTTCACCAACTCAAACTATCACTAATCGAAAACCATACCAAGACATCATTCCTCGTCCTCACCTATGTCTAAGACTTTCGATACGGGTCATGGATCCTTGTATCTTACTTTGACATATGAATGGATTCAGATTCTAAGGGAATCCTCAACCTTAAGAATCGTTGCTTCCTATGAGATTTCCAACCCATTTCAAACCTTTTACCTGTAGGCTCCATTCTCCATTCGCTTATGTGGACTCAAACCTGCCAAAGTAATGGTGTGTACATTCCAAAAGAGCTCTACATAAGTATCAACTCTTGGAATGACACAAATAGGGAGTTGTTTCCAATTACGTGATCAATAAAGATAACAAGATTGCATTCGACAGTCACAAGGAGATCACATCACCTTAACATTCACAACACCACCACATGTTCCATATAATGTCTCACCTCACCACTAGACAACTACTCGTCAAAGACACACACCTAGACATCATTTGCACAAGCATTGTCATCTAAGTCATCTATCATGTCTTAATCATCTTACTAGTTCATTCCATTAGTTGTCATTAAGGATTTCCTCACCATTCTTTAACATATTTAGTCATGTTACCCCACATTTACAAGCAATTATTCATGGGTAGAAAACATGCATAATAACCATAATAATCTATATAAAGCAACTCATAGTATAGTTATATATGTATGTGAAACAACCCAACAATTAACAAGAGAAAATTTCAAAGTCTTGTCACCATCGCCCAACGAGGTTGGCTCGCCTTTGGTTCGCCCTATGAGCCCAAGGAGAGGGACAGACAGAAGCAAAAGTGTATCATGGTTGTTCGACGAGCATCAGCGAGATAGCTCGCCTTCAGTTCTCCAAGCCTCGCCCAACGACCGTAGCAGAAAAACAGATCGCCTCGGGCTCGCCTAAGCTCGCCCGGCGACTGCGTCGTTTTCTGCATTATAACTTGCAGAATCAGGACAACAAGAAAGGGGTTTTCCACCCAACCCCAAAATGAGTTCCAAACACAATCAAATACCAACCTGCAATGCAAATTTTCAACACATACAACATGATAACAACATATATGTAAGATTTTCATGGAAATGGGAGAATCATAAGTTAACACTTCAATTGCTATTCAAAACCTAACAACTCTAATTTCTACAATCTATGGTATCTAGCTAGAACCCACATTGCAAGACAATGAAGAATTTGTTGATAATGAAGATGAGATGATGTTGATAAAGGATTAGCAGAATCCAAGTTTCTTCCTTTTCTTCCACTTCAAGGTTTTCCTTATTTTTTCTATTTTCCCTCTTCTTTCTCTCTATTTTTCTTTTCTATCTTTTT